AGATTTTATGAAGTGAAAAATAGGCATGTTCACTAACATTTGAATGCAGCTACTGGGATTTGGGTCCCCCCTGGTTACAGAAAGGCAAAAAGAACACGGTGTTCCTTGTGACACCAACACTTCTGTAAACATGCAGTCCATTCAGTGACTTTACTGTTGCAGATGGGTGTCCAAGGGCACCTTGACACTGCATGCTGCGAAGGGAGTATTATTCATTCAGCGTCCACCCACTTTTTTTCAGCACATTCAACACTAACATTTTAGGTAAAAGTTTTCTTTTACCACCTCTACCTCCCACTTTTTTGTGTAAGCCCTTTCTGTGCTCTCCTGAAAAAAAGTCTCACAATCAGGTCTCAAGATTAGGTAACATACAACCTCTGATAAACAACATCATGCCATCATTTATTTAACAAAAAGCAAGCCGAAATGCTGAAGCAGTCTGTGATTCCATTTAAGAGGCTAACCTCTTAGCAGGTCCTGCTAATCAAACACTGTATTAACTGATCATCAGCAAGTGTTAACACTTCTAAAAGCAGAGGCAGTTTGCAGGTTTGCAGCATTCAGGTGTTGTGTTACCACAATGCCAAGGAGAAAAGACACCAGCAAGTATCTTAGAGAAGCAACAGTTGCTACCTATCAAATTTATAAGGCCAATTCCAAACAATTGAAAACTATCGCTTTACAGTAAGATGTATTATTCACAAGGTGAAAAGAATCCAACATATAGTCGGTCTTCTCTGGGGTGGACATGCTCTGAGTAAATATAAAAAAGACCTACGTCTTGGCTTCAAAGTCTCAGTTCATGAAAAACCTGAACAGGTATGGTTTGTTTGGAAGGGTTGCGAGGAGTGTGTTTTCTCTCTAAAACAATCATGGCAGCACCGATTAGGTTGTAGCTGAACAACACCCAAGACTTCTGGAACAATGTCTTTTGGTTAGATGGAGACAAAGTGCAGATGTTTAGCCAAAATGCACAATGGTAAAGCACAAACACCTCATACCAACTGCCAAGCATGTTGGTGGTCACCTTGAACTTGTTGAGTCGACCATGAGTTCTTCTGTATACCAAAGTATTTAGAGTGAACTGTGAGGCCATCTGTCTAATAGCTTAGGTTTTGCCAAAACTGTGTCAAACTACAGGATGATGATCTCAAGCAGAGCAGCATAAAAAACAACAGAATGGCTGAACAAGAAAAGAATGGGTCTTGCAGTGATCTAGTCAAAGTCTAAATCTCAACCCTATTAAACGAATGAATAGATGAAAACCTCGATGAACTCAATAATCGTAAAGAAGAGTGGTCCACAATGATGTGTTGAATCAAGCTGGTGACTAATGGGATGTACTTGGTGCTTCACACACTGCTTCTGAATTTTGGCCCCCTGCTCCTCCTCCACCTCCAGCACCTCTTCTTCAGCATCTCATCTATGTTTTCCCAGCTGGCAGTGTGTACATTAGGAAAAACCCTCTCTTTGGAAAACCCAAATCTGTGTGCATGCACAGGCGTGTAAAGCAATGGGTGCTCTGAGGTGGTCACTGGTGACCCTCCGCGGCACACGCACTCCCTGTCTGTGTTTATTTATGCAATATTTGTGTGTGAAGTGATGGACACCCTGAAGTGGTCACCTGTGCGTACTTTACACAACCTCACCTCTGCGTGTGAAAATATGTGTATGTGTGAATGACAGGTGCTCAAAGGTGGCCATCTATGTCAACCTCCTCTGTGTCACCAGCTAGTAAACAAGTGAGACTGAGACAGAGCAGGAGGAAAAACAGGGGTTTACTGAACGAAAGACATAACCGCTGCTGGAGATGTAAATGAAAAGTGACACTGTGGGTCTATATCTGTCTCCTCCGTAAGGAGGCATATGAAAAGGAAACAGTGTTTGAACCTTCTCTGGAGGATGCAGCTCGAGAATATGTGAAGTAATTCTCTCAATCTCTGTGCAAGTAATGCTCTAAATGGGAACCTGCATCCAACATCAATCTTCATGTACAGTTACTGTCTGTCTAAACATTATAATTCAGTGGAGATTTACTACTGTGCTACAAACAGGCTGTGTTTACCACAGCTGTCTAATACTGGAGGCATTTATGAGGATAACTGAAATGCATTTCATTCAAATTAAAAAATACTGAATGTGACTTTCACTTTTATCCATGTTTTCTTTTAGTGGCTGGAGAAATGGAAAGAATATCACTGGAGGTACTGTTTACATCCCCTTTTAGTTGCTTTGCTTTTTACAGCAAGAAGAAACATAGCAAAGACATTTTAGACACATTAAAAGAGGCTCTATCTTAAAAAGTGCTAAATATATGGATCAAATACTGAAAGAAGATTTCTGATATAACCAGACAATACCATATTAATATGAATTCTCAGAATTAGCCATCCATCATAACAAGTCTGCAGGCCCACAGAAAACAACCCCATAGATCATTGTGTAAGATGTTATTTATAACCAATAGTCACCTGTTAAGGTCAACACCCGAGTCAGAGTCAGAGGCTGAGGAGGAGGAGTAGCAGCAATCTTCCACTCTAGCTTATTAATCAACCAAGGACCAAGACAACATTTTATTTCATCCGAAAGTCTTCTGTCAGACTCAGGCTTCTTATTTATCATCCGCCTGGTGATAGATAGTCGTCAGTTCAGATACTATAATTCTACTTGTTTATCTTAACACCCATGTAGATGCTAAAAAGGAGAGACTCAGAGTGAATCACACTCTGAGTTTTGTTCTGACATTTGGCCTACAAACCAAAACTTTTACTGTATTCATTTCAAATCCTCTTTAGTTCTGTTTTCTCTCTGTTATCGTTGGGTCTTTGCCTTAGACTATAAAAAGTCTTAAGGTGACTGTTGTTATTTGGTGCTTTATAAATAAAATTTCATTCATATCCTAGAACACGTAGCTTTCAAATACAACTAAACTTAACTAAACTTAACAAACACGATGAAAGCAAAACTTCAAATTGTGGAAGAACACTGCAGTCAAACTCAGCTGCCGGTGTTCTTCGAGCAGCATCTTAAATCCCGTTAGCTTGGCAAAGTTGTTAAAGTTGTGTTGAACTGAGAACCTGTTGCTTGTGACAATTCCCCAGCTGTTAAAAGTGCTTACAAAATGTTACGTCGGTGTAGAAAACAGCTGTTATTGTTTGTATCAAGTTCACCACTTGAAACCAAGTCCAGTCATGATAAATTTCAGCACTTCAGCCAATCATTCCTCCAGTGTTTCAGTTTGGATGTCTGAATTAGAGGGAATGCGAGTAGATAAACAGAGCTACAGAGTTGTAGGTTTATAGCAGGTGCACCATCCCGAAAATGCAGATAACAGGATATATCCCACCGCTGTGGTCCACCAAGGAAATCCTATCCAGGGAAAACACAAATGAGAATTTCTTAAAAAGTCTCCTTAGTAAATCTTATTAAACCAGTACTTATTTAGTTGAGATAATTACATTGAGAAATAATGTGATCATGACTGGATACATAATTCAAAAATCCCTGTCACAATATAACAATGTTCTCCTTTTTATCCACAAGAAGTTCTTCTTCAAAATGCCAGTATCTGTCCAATGCTCGTCTGTAAGAGCAGTCTCATTAAAAGAGATCGACACACAAGTTGTGAGAAGCTGGGTTTTTCTCTGTGTATGGGCTAGTTGTAATTTTAGCCCCAAATAAAGTGATACACTGGCTATACTGACTGATACTTTACAACCCATCTGAAACATCACACTGCTCATGTTTCTTGTACTTTTTGGACTCTGCTCAGAGCAAAGTTGAACAAAGGTATTTCCAAACTCTAGGACCCCACGTTGTGATAAATAGGAATGATTCTAGTCTAGAAAACATAGTGTTCCTTTGAACTATGTTGCACATTTGGCCTCAACTCAATCACTGATCTCAAGGTGCCTTTGGCAGTGTCAGTCTCCTGTGATTGGAAAATTACTAGCCAAGTGCGTACTGGTGATCCATTCTCACGTCCTCGGATCCCTGTCTACTCTTACTCCCAAACTGCCGTTCTCACATGTTGTAAAGTTGTGCAGGAGGAGGAGAAGACCTGATCCGAGCCAACAGTTCATGAATCCTTTAACACACCTTTGCTCACACAAAAGACAAAAGCTCATTAAAACTCAGAGCTGGTGGTGACATGAACGTCTGAAAGTATGAAAATGCCATAGACACTTTGAATTAGCTTTGGACTGAGACACACAAGATGTGGGTTGAAGCACTGCCATTTACTTTTTACCCAATCTTTCCCTCTGAGTTGTAGCCGTCCTGCCAGTTTACCACGTGAAGCAGCAGAACTGCAGCCCAATAGATACAGCCCAGTTTTTGGGAACCCCACGGTGCACTGTCACGATGACAGCAATGCATGAAGTGGGTGGCCTGCAGGCCAAAAGAACAAAACATGCACCTAAATTATCTATAACAAATGCCTCAGTCAAAGGA